GACCATAGCCCGGTTAAAATTACATGGAAAGGACATAGTAAAAGGAAAAGGAGATGGATATTAAATTCACAAATAACAAAGGAAAAAGAATATATCTCAAGAATTAAAAATGAGTTAGAAACATTCTTTAAGGTTAATCTAAAACAGCATACTAGTTTACAAAATTTATGGGACACTACAAAGGCTTTTGTGAGAGGCATATCAATAGCCTATATAGCTAAGAAAAATAAAGAAAAATGGAAGAAACAGAATGAATTACAAGAAAGGATTAAAACATTTGAATATGAGGTCCAAAAAGACCCCCAAAATATGGAAGTTAAGAAAGAAATAGGGATGATTAGACATGAACTAAATTTGATAGATATTGAAGAAAATGCACGTAACTTAATAACTCTTAAACATAATTTCTTTGAATCAGCAAATAAACCAGGAAGGTGGTTATCCCATAAATTAAAAATAGAGAAAGAGAAAAGTCTAATTCAGCAACTCAAGGATGAGGAAGGGATAGTGTATTATCAGATGGAGGAGAAAAAGAGAATTGCGCAAAGGTATTTTGGCGAGCTTTATAAGCAAGAAGATGTTAGGGAAGAAAACATTAGATACTACTTGGAGGGAAACGATCTGAGCCCAATCTCAGAAGAAAACAGAGAAGTACTTAATAAAAAAATAACATTAACAGAGTTACAAAAGGTGATACAAAAACAAAAAAATAATAAAACACCAGGCCTGGATGGTCTACCAGGCGAACTATATAAAAACCAATATTACTGGAACTATATAATGAGGCATTAACGCAAGCTAGACTTCTGAGGTCCTGGTCCAAGGCATACATCTCCTTAATTGCAAAAGATGGCACTGATCAACGGATTTTAAGATATTTATGACAATATTAGCAGAAAGAATGAAACCAATTTTGAGTGAACTTATACATACAGACCAGAATGGTTTCCTGCCAAATAGACAAATTAAAAACAATATTAGGACAGTACTAAATTCGATTGAATACTATGAAGCTCACCCAGAAAAATAGGCAGCTTTAATTTTTTTTAGATGCACAAAAAGCATTCGACAATATCAATTGGAAATTCATGCTATATCAAATTAAAAAGATGAACTTTGGCACTAATATAGAAAAAACACTACAAGAAATATACTCAAATCAAAAAGCAAGTGTGTTATTAAATAGAGATCGTACCAAAGATTTTGAAATTACAAAAGGAGTGAGACAAGGGTATCCATTATTGCCTCTGTTATTTATCTTGTCTTTAGAAGTGTTGCTAGCTGCAACCAGACAAAACCCAGATATTTATGGAATTAAGATTAGAAATGAGGAATATAAAGTTCAGGCATTTGCCGATGATTTGGTATTTATAGTGGAAGATCCAAAGAATTCGGGACCAATATTGTTGCAATAAATAGAAAAATTTGGGGAAGCAGCAGGATTTAAAATAAATAAAAATAAAACTAAGATGATAGTCAAAAACTGTACAACAAAACAGACAGTAGAATTAGAAAACAATGGGACTGCAAATAGTAAAAAAGATGAAATACCTGGGAATTTGGATATCACCAGATGTTCATCATTAAAAGAGGACAATTATGTTAAACTGATTAAGCAAATCAGAAAAGAATTGGAATTATGGGCCAAATTGAAATTGTCTATATTAGGAAGAATAGCAACACTGAAAATGAATACTTTACCAAAACTAATATATCTATTCCAAATGATTCCAATTAAATTAGGGAAATATTTTTTTATAGAACTAAATAAAATGACATCCAAGTTTGTCTGGTTGGGCAAGCAGCCACGTATTAAAATGAAACCATTACAAGATAATAGGAGCAGAGGTGGTCTCGGACTACCAGAATGGGAGCTTTATTACCAGGTAGCGGTGTTGAATTGGATTAAGGATTGGATTAAATTAAGAGACAAGAGAATCTTAGCATTAGAAGGACATGACCTCTTGGTAGTTTGGCATGCATTTTTATGGAAAATAAAAGTAATATACATACCTATTTCAATCAACACCTAATAAGAGACTCATTGATTACAATTTGGAAAAAAAATCAAAGGTAGACACTATACAGAAATCCCATGATGGCTGTCAACCATGGAAGCCATAATACATCCAAATAGATTAGAAAATGGTAAGCTATGAAGAACTATTAGATAGTCAAGGGAAATTAAAGTCAAACCAAGAACTGAAGGAAAATGGAATTATAATCGATTGGTGGCCATATTTGCAAATTCAAAATAAATATAAAAAAGACTCAAAAGATTTTGGATTTGACAAAGGGCAGAACTAACTAGGTAAAATATTAATGGAACCGGAACAAAAACTTATAACTAAAATATATAAATATTTATTAGATTTTAAAATGGAAGAGGAAATAGTCAAAAGTACAATGATTGCATGGGCACAGAATTTTGGATACACTATAGAATTAGAGGAATGGGAGAAAATATGGAATATAAACTATAAATTAACGGTATCCACAGCATACAAAGAAAACATATATAAAACGTTTTATAGATGGTATTTAGCCCCAGCAAGATTGGCAAAACTCTACCCCAACATGAGTCCTAAATGTTGGAAGTGCAAAAAAGTTGATGGTACATTTTATCACATGTGGTGGATGTGCCCCAGGCCAGGACATACTGGATTCAAATTAAAAATTGGTTAAAAGAGATCACTGGCTATCAGATTGAGCTCAGACCAGAATCCTTCCCATTAGGAATCATTAAAGAAAGACTACCAAAAGAAGTAAAATACCTAGTGTTACATATTATAACAGCCGCCAGAATAGTCTTTGCATGGGTATGGAAAACACCAAATACTCCCAATGAAGAACTAATAATACACAAAAAACCAGAAAGTGCTGAGATGAATATGCTAACAATGAAATTGAAAGAAAAAGACAACTCTGAATTCTTTACAATTTGGAACAATTGGTATAAATGGCTAACAAACAGAACCAAGAAGTGAGACAAAAATGTTAATTGAAACAACCCTTAAGAAAGTAAAATAAAATTTTGTAAACTATATAAAGATATAAGAATAGTAATTATAGCTAAAGATATTATTTAATAGTAGATAAATGCAATATAATGTATTATATTTAAACCAAAATCTTGTATAGATGCCAAGAACGTTGTTGATATCATGATGTTTTACGATGTAAAAAAAAAAAGAAAATTAATAAAAATATATTTTAAAAAAAGAAAAGATACATTCATCAAGAGTCAAGAATCATAAGGTACAACACTTAATGATGGTCATAGGGTACAATAAGCAATCAAATCATACTAGGAAACAGTCAATATAAATCGTTAGAATACAAGCGACAAAGTTACAGTCTTACAGTCACAAGTGGGAGGGGATGGGCGATAAGGAGTGATGAGAAGATTAATAGTAACAGTAGTGCAGACTTTGTAAATAGTTGGACTGTGTTGAGGGAATTATTTGTTTAGCAGAATGATGGCATTTGGGAAAAACTGTCATTGTGTCTAGTTGTTCTGGTGTGCAGTGCTCTATAGCGTCGTTTTGAGGGTAGAAATTTAAACAATTTATGTCTGGGATGTGGCGGGGTCTGTAAATATTTTCACAATGAGACCTTCAGAAAAGCATGTATACGATTTGGTATTTCCAAACAACATGGAAAAGTTCAAGGCATATAGAACTTTTTGGGGTGCTGGATGAAAAACCTCTGAGCAAATAACTTCTTTTGCCTGTCTTTTTGTCATACTTGTCCATCTGTTTGCTATCGTTCTGACACTAGCTTTAATGTCAGTGATCTCATTCTTGTATACAAAAGCACCCTTCTGAGCCAAGACTGTGACACTGTCCCCGCATTTCACAGTCTCGCTCTTCTGGGTGCTAAGGAAAGGAAAGGTCAACCATGTTTTATCTCTGACTCTCTTTAGATTCTATCAATCCCCGAAGCTAAGAAGGCGAGTTCTGGCAAGTGTCTGAACAGGGTTTAAATTATGTTACATTTAGGCACAGTGAATTAATTGTTTGTGCAGCACCCATCAGCACAATCTAGCATTCAGCCCTTCGGGCTCTTTGCGGCAGGATCTCATTAAGGCATCTGCTAGGGAGTTGTAGAAACCCCTGTTAATTAGTCAGTTATGTTACCAGCCCTGGAATGAAACGTATAGTCTATAATTAAACAAGCATGCTGTGATGAACGCATCATGCAATGCCAACTGTATCCTATGGCATTCATTAGTGTTTACACTCAAGCGTGCACATGACTGCAACCTAAACCTTTATTTTCTACTGAATTTAATTAATTATCCAGTGACTTGGTAGATTTCATCCTTGCTCTTTTTCTCCTTTGCATTAATAACACAGGTCCTTAAGCCCCATCTGGTCATGTTCACACAACAAAAGCTCTATTTGTCCAATAGTGGTCTCAGTAAGCTTCTAGTTAAATCAGTGCTATGATTTTTAAATGAAATATGAACAATGTGGTACTCCAGTTTTATGTTAGGATATACACTAAGATCAAAAGGTATTGAACAGCAGTGCATTGGGCTCTCACAACTCAGCCCTCTTTTCCCAGTGAGTTGCCTTCTGGGTATGTTGGACTGCATTCAGCGTGGTCTTTCTAATTGGGGAGCTCTTGATTATAATCTTGTCAGTTCTGGATATTGTCTTGACTAGCAAGTATTAGGGACTTCAAATAATACATGAAAGCATGTATTAGTGTCTTCAAATGAGTCAGCTATAGCAATAACACTTGGATGTATATGCCGCCCCATAGTGCTTTATAGCACTCTCTGAGTGGTTTACAGAGTCAGCCTCTTGCCCCCAACAATCTGGGTCCTCACTTTACTGACTTTGGAAGGATGGAAGGCTGAGTCAACCTTGAGCCATTCAGGATTGAACTCCAGATTGTGGGCAGGGTTTGCCAGCAATACTGCATCCTAACCACTGCATCACCAGGGCTCTTTTTGAATATCAGTTATATTTTTATTTCTTTTCCCCCGTTAGAGCTGATAGATGGAGTCAATATCACCAGTCCGGTATTACTGATTCATGGTACAGTCGGGAAGCCTGCCCTGCTCTCTGTGAAATACACCAGCACAAGCCATGACAAGCCTGTCATCAAATGGCAAGTGAAACGCAACAAGGCGGCGACAGTGGTGCAGTCCATCGGCACAGGGATCATTGGGAACCTGCGCCCAGAATATAGAGATCGGATAAAAATCTTCGAGAATGGCTCTCTACTGATCCACGAGTTGCAGTTATCTGATGAAGGGACCTACGAGGTGGAAATCTCCATCACGGATGACACTTTTACAGGCGAGATGAACATTAACCTTACAGTGGATGGTAGGTTGGTCTTAGAAAAACTAGATTTATTGATTTATAGATTTTTATTTAAATTACATACATCCTGACTTAATATTCCTTGGCCCAAACAACACATCAATTTATTTATTTGATTCTTATCATGCTTTTATTACTTAATAGGTAACTTAAGGTGATGAACATACCTAATATTCCTTCCTCCTTCTCTTTTCCCAACAACAATCCTGTGAGTGGGTTGGGCTTAGAGTCTAGGTAAACTGATGATGTTACCTACTTGGGTAATGAAATGTCTGAAAGAAAACAACCAAGCTCAAAAACCATCAAGGACCCCTGATTTCACACCTGAGCTAGAAATCTCCTTTTTTTGAGAGAGAATGACTAGCCCAGAGACAAGATCAAAGTGGCAGGTAGTCAATCAAGTAATCAGTTCCTAAGCCATGTATGGCTTTATAGGTAACACCTGCAGCTTGAATCATAACCACAAGCAAACTGGCAATTGGTGCAGCTTGCGAAGTGGAGGTGCTACATGGGCTTATTGAGATGTTGTACAGGTGAAACTCAAAAAATTAGAATATTGTGCAAAAGTTCATTTATTTCAGTAATGCAACTTAAAAGATGAACCTAATATATGAGAGACTCATTACATGCAAAGCAAGATAGTTCAAGCCGTGATGTGTCATAGTTGAGATGATTATGGCTTACAGCTCATGAAAACCCCAAATCCACAATCTCAGAAAATTAGAATATTGTGAAAAGGTTCAATATTCTAGGCTCAAAGTGTCCCACTCTAATCAGCTAATTAAGCCATAACACCTGCAAAGGGTTCCTGAGCCTTTAAATGGTCTCTCAGTCTGGTTCAGTAGGAATCACAATCATGGGAAAGACTGCTGACCTGACAGTTGTGCAGAAAACCATCATTGACACCCTCCATAAGGAGGGAAAGCCTCAAAAGGTAATTGCAAAAGAAGTTGGATGTTCCCAGAGTAATCAAAGCACATTAATAGAAAGTCATGTGGAAGGGAAAAGTGTAGAAGAAAAAGGTGCACAATCAGTAGGGATGACCGCAGCCTGGAGAGGATTGTCAGGAAAAGACCATCAAAAGTGTTGGGGACTTTCACAAGGAGTGGACTGAGGCTGGAGTCAGTGCATCAAGAGCCACCACACAGACCCTGGACATGGGCTTCAAATGTCGTATTCCTCTTGTCAAGCCGCTCCTGAACAACAAACAACGTCAGAAGCGTCTTACCTGGGCCAAAGAAAAACAGAACTGGTCTGTTGCTCAGTGGTCCAAAGTCCTCTTTTCTGATGAGAGCAACTTTGCAACTCATTTGGAAACCAAGGACCTAGAGTCTGGAGGAAGAATGGAGAGGCACACACTGCAAGATGCTTGAAGTACAATGTGAAGTTTCCACAGTCTGTGTTGATTTGGGGAGCCATGTCATCTGCTGGTGTTGGTCCACTGTGCTTCATTAAGTCCAGGGTCAACGCAGCCGTCTACCAGGAGATTTTGGAGCATTTCATGCTTCCTTCTGCAGATGAACTTTATGGGGATGCTGATTTCATTTTCCAGCAGGACTTGGCACTTGCCCACACTGCCAAAAGGACCAAACCCTAGTTCAATGTCCATGAGATTACTGTGCTTGATTGGCCAGCAAACTCGCCTGACCTGAACCCCATAGAGAATCTATGGGGCATTGCCAAGAGAAAGATGAGAGACATGAGACCGAACAATGCAGAAGAGCTGAAGGCCGTGATTGAAGCATCCTGGTCTTTCATAACACCTCAGCAGTGCCATAGGCTGATAGCTTCCATGCCATACCGTATTGAGGCAGTAATTGCTGCAAAAGAGGCCGAAACCAAGTACTGAGTATATATGCATGCTTATACTTTTCAGACGTCCGATATTGTTCTATGTACAATCCTTGTTTTATTGATTGCATGTTATATTCTAATTTTCTGAGATTGTGGATTTGGGGTTTCCATGAGCTATAAACCATAATCATCTCAATTTTGACAAATCACTGCTTGAACTATCTTGCTTCAAATGCAATGAATCTATCTCATATATTAGTTTCACCTTTTAAGGTGCATTACTGAAATAAATGAACTTTTGCATTATATTCTGATTTTTCAAGTTTCACCTGTATATCCATCACTGTTTCTGCTGCTCCATTCTGGACCAGTTTGGGTGGCAGCCCCATGTAGAATGCATTACAGTAATCAAGTCAAGAGGTATGTGGGAAGGCCCCACCTGTCAGAAGAATGAAATATTTTGGGAAATATTTAGAAAGGCAGAATATTATATTCCCCTAAAGTAGAAATGGAAAAACATGTGTTAGAGGCAGAAAAGCAACCCCCAGTCTTTCTTAACAGCCCACAGCAGATGCCACCACTTGAAGAGATAAAGAGCTTATTGAAAGAAGCCAACTATCTAGATGGCTCTATTCATAAACAAAGTAAATACTGCAGACAGCAATCCATTCAAAACAGGATATGTTTTGGCAAGGCGACGGCCTGCACTGTGTCCTCCTCCGAGCTGAGCCCCACCGAATGTGCACCTCTGCCCAATGCCTGTGCCGCTGTAGCATTTGGAGCTTCTGGCGCATTTGGGACGGGCTGGGCGAGGGGTGGAAAGGATGGGCGGCTTCAGGCTCTTTCTGCCGGACCCATAGACCAGGGAAGCAGCGCAGCCGTCGCCTCACCTCCCTGTCCATGGACGGGTGGGTGCTATCACTGCCTTGGGCAGACTCTCCCTGTGGCCCCTTCGGATTTGGGCTGGAGGGAGTTGGGAAGGAAGCCAAGCTCAGGTCGGCCTGGCTCTTTTGCTTGGCAGGCAGGTGCACACCCGCAGCTCGCTTTCCCGGCTCTGCCCAGCCCGCACGGCTCTGGCATGGCCCTGGCGGGATGACCAGAGGGCCCAGCGGGGAAGCGCTTGCTGCCTTGGTGAGAGCTCCGCCACTGGGCAGGAGGGCCCGCCTGTCAGCTGCGCTGGGCGCCCCAGGCGAAGCTCTTCACGATCTGCCCGGTGCCCGGCAGGGATGGCAGCTGGGCACTTCTCCTGGGGTGGGCTGATCCTGCGCTGCAGCCTCGGGAGATTCGCCTCCCCATGTGGGGTTGGGCTTTCCTCGGGCAGGGGAGGCTTTGTCGTACCGTTTAAAAGAATTGGCTTTGCCTTCAAAGGCGAAGGGAAGGCGGCGACGGGAGCGCCTGAAGCCGAGTGTCTCTGCCGGACTCTGGTTGCAGGGAGGAGCCCTGGCTGGCCGTGCATGGCTGCGCCAAATGCTGCAGCGCTGCTCTAAATGCCGTGGCAGCACGGGGAGAAGGGAAATCAACAGTGGTGGAAGGTCTCCCAATACAAAGTGCCCCGCTGAAGTCAACGCAGGCAGCACCATATCCGGGTATGCAACAAAAGTACTTCCTAATGGCAAGCCCTCCCCTTCCATTCCCTCCCATTTCGCATGTTTAATATCGGCCTTAATTTGGGGGGAGGGGCTTAATTTGATTTTATGCCTATAAAACATGCTGGGACTTCCTATTGGGAGAGGCCGTATTATTGGAGAAACACGGTCGTTCCTTCCTTGGTGCACATGGAGCGGATGAGTAATGGACTGTATGTTTGACTCAGTAAAAGGGGAGGAGTCTGCTGAACCATTTCTAGAAATATATTTGAATCTTTACAAAGTAGAAATGTAAGAAATGTCAAGAAATTCTACCATGATTGTGTTTGGTATAAGCCAAGGTCAAAAGAGTCTATTTAAAATTTAAAAATTTTGCTGAAGTACCCCAACTATATTGGGGTATATTGTACATTGTAAAACTCCCAGCAATCCCCATTTCCTGATCTGGCCTATCTCAAAAGACTGACAAAGAAATGAAACTTTCAGCCACATCACTATATCAGTTCAGATCAGTACTGATATAACTTCCACTTGCAAATATTTAATTGGAGTCTTCCTTCATCGGAGTTGCATAGTCAGAGATTATGCTAACAAGTGCTTTCAGAATATATATTTGAGGAACTGGTATAGTGAAAATATAGTGAACATTATTCCCAGCACAGGCCAGCTGAGAGAAAGGCTGGAGACCCCAGACTACTTTGTCTCCTTACTTGGGTTTAATTGTAAAAGGTCCAACTGGAATCACTTTCTGCTCAGCAGACTATATACAATCAAGGTCAATTAAACAATGGCTTTGTGAATTATTGTCTTTCCCTTGGTGATTGGTGAATAATCAATCACCAAATAAAGCCTGAATGATTTCACTAAATATGTATCCCATCAACCCCCTTCCTCATCCATTATCTGCATCTTCAAGACAATTGAGACATCTTCATACAATTGAGCGAGTTCAGAAGTGTTTTACCAGAAGAGTAATACATTCCTCTGTTCTCAACAGAATACCCTACACCACCAGACTTGAGGTTCTAGGCTTAAACAACCTTGAACTACGCCAGCTAAGGTTGGATTTAATCATAGTACATAAAATCATATGTTACAATGTCTTACCAGTTAATAAATATTTCAGCTTTAACCACAACAACACAAGAGCACACAACAGATATAAACTTAATGTTAACCACTCCAAACTTGATTGCAGGAAGTATGATTTCAACAACAGAGTGGTCAATGTCTGGAACTCACTACCTGATTCTGTTGTCACCTACTCAAACCCCCATTCCTTTACCCTCAAACTAACCTCTATTGACCTCACCCCATTCCTAAGAGGTCTGTAAGGGGCGTGCATAAGCGCGCAATCGTGCCTACCGTCCCTGTCCTATTGTTCCCAATTATTAGTTCCTATTTCTTGTATTTAAACTTACGTTTATTCTTGTTTCTGTTGTATTGTAAGCCTTTGACAAAATAAATAAAATAAATAAATAAATAAAAGACCAACGAGATGCCATTTTATTTTTTTGTTGATTCTAGTTCCAGTTTCAAAGCCGCACGTTGCCTTGGCCTCCTCAACTGTGCTGGAGCTGAGTGAATATTTCTCTTTCAATTGTTCCCATGAGAATGGCACTAAGCCCACCTATACATGGATGAAGGACAACAAGCCTCTTAGCAATGACTCTCGGCTGATCCTTTCCCATGACAAGAAGATCCTCACCATCACTAGAGTTCTGATGGCCGATGATGACACTTACAGCTGTCTGGTAGAGAACCCCATCAGCAAAGGACAAAGTGTTCCTGTAAAACTGACAGTGTACAGTAAGTATGGGATGCGCAAAGCTATACACATGGCAGTAGCACAAAATCTTGAATTTTAATTTTTTTATTCTTGTTTTAAATTGTTTTTATTATAATATTCATGCATCGCTTTTAAGTTTTTATATATCTATTTGTTCACTGCCCAGAGTCATTCTGTGACAAAGATGGGCATTAGATAAGCATTATAAAAATATTTTTAGAATAATTTTTATTCACTTTTGTTAAGATAAAAGTTAAATAAAAATTAGAAAGAAAAATTAAAAAGAGAGGGGAGAAAAGAGCAAAGAGAGAAAAAAGAAATGACTTCCAACTTTCTCTGGTGTAGTAGTAAACAATACAATCTCAACCTTTTGCTACATTTCACAACATTTCAAGACATTTCTGTAACAATAAAATCATTCTAATCCATCAAAACCTAAAATCAAGGTTTCAATTTTTTCAGTTCTGAGAAAAGTCCAGAAGCGGATTCCTAATAGAAGCAAAGCCAGATAAATTCTTTTCTTTAATTAAAGCACTCAGTTTCACCATCTCTGCTAACTCCATCTCCTTCATCATCCACTCTTCCATTATGGCAATGAGTATCTTTCCATCTTCATGTTTCAAAATGTTAAGAAAGAAATATAAAGACAAAGATAATGATGATGGTGATGGTGATAATAATAAGGACTTGGAGACTTGACTAGCTGTTCTGGTAAATTCAGATTAATAAAGTGGTCCCTCTTAATGATACTTCAGATTCGGGTTGTGTCTTCTGTTTGTTACTTTCTCCTCAGCCAGGCCTTTTGAACTGAAGTAATGATGATTATTTAAGTGCTGTTTATTATTTTGAACAGTCAGAGTCTGACTGTTTAATAGCTCTGCATGAGTGTCGTTTTTATGTGTATATTTTGATCTGTTTGCTACTTGGGAAGCCTTTGAAAAGTCATTTGCGAATCTAAAATAATAGAGTAATGAGGAAGGAGAGACCGTGGGAAGAGTAAAGGTTATAGTAGGATATAAATCTAAAGAATAAAACAGGGAAAATCTTGAGTTGGGAATCAAATTTGGTATTAGCAAAGGACTTTGGTACCACTGCCAAGAAAACAACAGTGTCTTGCATGATCAACAGGAATCAAGTTTGACTCAAGGAAGAATTTATTTTATTGCTGATTGCTTTCTTCTCCTAACCCAAAGGTACTTATTCAAAAAGCAACTGGACTTTTCTTTGTTTCTTTTCCCTTGAAGATGTTTCACCTCTCATCCAAGAAGTTTCTTCAGAGCTGAAAAATCTTCTTTGATGAGATGCAAAACATATTCAAGGAAAAAATAAAGAAAAATTCAGTTGCCTTTTGAAAAAGCACATTTGGGACAACCATGGCCGGGATGACTGAGAATCTCCATAGACTTCTCCTGACTCACATCCCAGGACCATTCCTATGTTCTGTTGCTTTGTGAGGACTTGGAATCTATAAAAATATGTATAGGAAGAGAATCTCTGTCGGACTTTCATAACTCGGTTATTGTATCCTATAGCAATAAATAGAGTCTCTTTCCTGACTATCTCAAAGAGTTGATACAAGCATTGATGGTTGCATTTGCATTATGGCATCACTGCATGGATATCATCAGGTTGGCATCAACCTGATTTGCTGCATTCAGTGCAACTTCCATGGACAAGTGGCCCACTCAACTTTCCACAATCTTCTGTTCTTTTTCTTGCTTCAGAGCTAGGTACCTACAAGAATATGCAGAATAAAATCTTTAAAATAAAACATTATTTTGGTTCAGAAACTTGACCTTACCCAGGCATGACCCTCCTTCCCCTGCCTTCCTTGACAGTATCCTACAAAATAAAAGAGCACAGAAGAGTGGAGATGTTTTGCTGGCTACTAAGCTGGAATTGGCAGGTAATGCCAAAGAAGGCAGCCAGGTCTCCATGGATTCTCTAAAACAAGAGCGTGAAATATTGCCTCTCAATAAAACTCAGGAGGTAGTTATAAATCAAGGGTAAGGCCACTGTTGTACAAACTGTAGCCAGATGGCCCTGGATTCTTGCATGGTGTGAACTTCCAGTTCTTCAAGGAAACATATTATTTTTGGCTGCCCCTTGCTATGTAATATTAAGGTGCTAAGGCACTACTTTGAAAGAATAACAGCTTATAATAGTCGAAGGAAGGAAGGAAGGAAGGAAGGAAGGAAGGAAGGAAGGAAGGAAGGAAGGAAGGAAGGGATTTTAGTTCTCAGGGGTTCCAGCCTGCTGATGTATAAGTGTATGTACAATATGTGTACAAGTACAAAAGCAGAAGCTTTCATCAAACATCTTCCTGATAATATTACCTTTCCCCCTCAGAGATCAGAAATTCAGCATAAAGCCACAATCTTTTAGTTTAATCCTTGAGGTTTAGGGGAATCTCAAGTGTTACTCTTTTCATTTAATTAATCACATCTCTAATTCAATTTTTGTCTTTTCGCAGGAAGGAGCTCCCTCTATATAATCCTGTCCACTGGGGGAATTTTCCTTCTGGGTACCTTAGTGACCGTCTGTGCCTGCTGGAAACCGTCCAAGAAGTATGAACCTGAATGCATATTGTCTATAACTTAAACATAATGTCCCCATTGGGAAATATAGACCTGCTTATTATCTACAATTGCCAATGTCTTCAATTTTTTCCCCAAATGAAATGAAACACATTTTAAGACAAGCCATCTTCTAATAGCAGATGGTTTAATTTTTGCTTTATTGTAACCTTGGTGAAACTGTGCTGGCTCTGGTACTGGGGTGGTATCCAAGATAGGCCACTTACTTGAGATCTGAAATAATTCTACTTTCAAAATGATGTATATCATGTTGAAATGCACTTGTTTCTCCATTTTTCCCAGCAAAATTGTGAAGGGAAATTATGGATTTGCCTTGCAACAATACTTTATTAACAAAATCAATCCATGCTTTTAGAAAGCATTTAGCAGTGAAGCCCAAGGTATATTTAATAAATCAATCCTATTAATCATGTTGCAGGATCAGCCAAACAAGGGAAACAAATTAGGGTTCAGAGATCCATTCTGCAAAACTGTTTCTTTTCAAATGAAAGTCATTTTCACTATTGCTTTCTTTCTTAATCACTTCTCATTGCTTATATCTCTTCAGCAGCCTCAAATATGTACACCCGGGTGATTTATAAGGTTGTACATGTAATTGGAACAACCTCCAGATCCTGAAGTGGAAAGGAATAATTAAGCCCAGGTCTTCCTTTTCCTTGGATTAGAGTAGATGGTTGTGAAACTGATTCCTCATAATGCATCTTAGTGAAATTCTGGATGAAATAAAATCCTTTATGATGATTACAGATCAGAGCTCTATATAATAATATTTCAGTTAATGAGAGGTAGCCTAACATTTCAAAATGGGAATTGTAAAATGAAGTTAGCTGAAGAACTCAGCAATTCTCATCTCTTCATTACTGCTGGACAAAAAGACGGCAATACTCCTTGTTATATCTTTATTGTACCCGATAGCAGCGGTTTAATGTAAAATTTGTCTGTTTTGTAGGATGGGTGAAGGTACTAAGTAGGGTTCTGGAGAGTCCCTGTAATAATCACAACCAAGGACCCCCAACCTGAACTGTCTTTGTCTCTCCAAAGTCATATAGGCCTAGGGATTCTTTTTATACACTGCAGATCCAATTTATTTATTCAAAACTCTGGAGAATGGCAAAGCCACAAATACTAGACCCACTCTTGCTTGATCCAGGATAGGCTGTTAGTCTCTGTATACCATAATTCCTGGATTAATAGTGCTTGAGTTGTCCTTAAAAAGAACCCATAGTTCATATATACCTTAATTCCTACAGTACAATTTTAGCTTAATGAGTCCTTCTTCATAAACCTCCAAAAATGTTGGCTAAAGGTTCTTACAGAACAAAAAAGGCCATCTCTTTTGGGCAAGAGCCTTGGCTATCTGCACACTGCACCATGGTTTTTCTAACTTTTCTCCAGTATTTTGTTTGCAGTGGGTGATGTATCAGTAGATATTGGGAACTAGTGGAAAACATTTGTGTTTGAGTTTCTTAAATTTTTCCCCCTTGTAGTAATTTCTCCTCAAATCTATGTCACTTCATGAAGAAAAAGACTTATAACATCCATGTTAGTTGGTCTTTCTGGTTGGTGGAACATTAAGCAAATCTGGACAGAATGCAGCATACAAGTCTGGTATTTTCCACATGTCATCATGGGACACATTTTGCTCAGTTTGTTGGAAGGTAGCATTTGAGACTGAAATGCCAGCTGTCCATCCATAGAATATCAAGATGGCTTTACCATAAGCAAACAAGATCACTAAGACAAGCTCTTGGGCTCTCTTTCATTGTAGGAACAAAAGGAAACTAGAGAAGGAAAGTTCCTCAGAATACCTGGACCAGAACGAAGAACACCTAAAACATGATGGTAAAATAATTCTCCCATACCAGACTGGGCTCTCTCTAGGACAATCTTTCCCATCAGATGCTCTCCATATATGCGGGATCACAATATCCAGAATTCCTAGTCAGGATATTATTGACATAACATCTTACTAATGTCCAGCTGGGCCCTACATTGTGAGAAGGATTCTTAATTTACAGAACTTCTTAATGAGGTTTACACAAATGTATAGACTAGAGGATGGTTTTTATCAATGAGAATGAAAAATGGAACCTTGCTTAAATTTGGAGATATGGGGGTTTATGCTGCTGTAAAAGCAAAGGAAGAGGCTATTTTAGACAAATTCAATTGAAGTAACCCAGTCAAGTACATCAAATTGGGTCAACAAGAGCACCAGAGGTCAAGGCAAGCTACTTGATTGCAGATTCAGTCTTGGTAAGTAGTGATGCAGATCAGCCCCAACCATAGATATATATTAACAGAGCTAGACAAAGATGTTGCAGGAAAGATCTACAACCAACAGATGTCTTAATGCCATTATAGAACTTGGTCTTTTTAACAAGGTTCTTATAAGCTGCTTATCACTGGCACATTCTCAACTTGTTCACAAGAATTCTTTTTACACATTAAAAAGACCCTAAAACATTACCAATTCCCATTCTTGCTTTATTATGCAGTTGAGGTTCTTCCTAGAAGCAGCGAACATGAACGCAAGAATCCAGTGGCTTTGTATATCCTGAAGGACAAGGTATATCTCATGCTGTGTGATTTGGGGACTGCTTTTAACTTGCATGTCAATAGTTAACCTCAGGGGAGGGATTCTACCAGTTCGTACCTAGTCTCTAGAACCAGTTTGGAGAACCGGTTGTTAGAAGAAATTACTGGCCTAATCCTGTAAGGAAGGCAGGAAGGAAACATGCTTACAGAAACTGCCTCTCCATTAACCCTTATTACATTCTTGGCAGGACTAGACTTCCTCCAGGAATGTCTCTGGAGATTTTTCCCCCTCCTTTGCTGGTACTTTGCTTGTGTGGAGTGACCATTCAAAGTTACAATGGCACTGAAAAAAGTGACTTATGACCATTTTTCACACTTATGACTGTTGCAGCATCCCCACAGTCATGAGAGGCCAGGCGAGGAGATGCGTGCCTCGATGTGAGTGATATTGAGTTGGCCACACCCAGCCAATAACATGACCACCAAGCCACACCCACCACCTAAGCCATGCCCACAGAACCAGTTGTTAAAAAATCCCACCCCCGTTAACCTTCATACCGATAGTATGAGCAAGCCTGCTGAAAGATTTTACATTATAATGTGAGGTCTTCTAGGATTGTTGGAACCTGGAAAAGATTGTGGCTTAATCTCTCTGCTATTGGAGACAGCCTTGTTTTCCTTGGAGGATTTTAAGAAGAGATTGGACAGCCACCTGTCTGAAATGTAGGGTTTCCTGCTTGAGCAGCAGGTTGGATTAGAAGAAGGGTCCCTTCCAACTCTGGTATTCTGTTATTCAATATTAATAATATAACAACCCATTGCCCTATGGCCAACACATCTTTAATTGATTTATTTACTTATTTAAAGAACTGATGTCACTGCCTTAACCAGCTGGTGATCTCACCTAATAAGCAATTCAGAACAACCAATAAAAACAATGGAATAAAAATAAAATACCTTTTCCACTTCCAACCAAACCACTGACCTTCTGACAACCCCATCCTAGCCCAACTCCTGGGGAGAAAGCCAGGTTTTCACAGCCTCCTGAAAGGCTAAAAGAGTAGAGGCCCCTCAAATCCAGTGGTGGGATTCAAATTTTTTTACTACTGGTTCCGTGGGAGTGGCTTGGTGGGCGTGGCAGGGGAAGGATACTGTAAAATCTCCAGTCAGAGGCGGTATTGGCCAGTTCTCCAAACTGCTCTGCTCGAATCCCAGGTGTAAGGCTATTCCAAAGGGCTGGGGTGGCTAAAGACAATCTAACTGTATATTATGTCCGAAAGGTGCTCCCCCCACAAAAAAAGACAACTGGACTTTCTTGGTTGTTTTCTCTTTAAAAACATTTCACTTCTCATCCAAGAAGCTTCTTCAGCTCTCAGTGCACTTTCTTCAGAACTGAAGAAACTTCTTGGATGAGAAGTGAAACATTTTCAAAGCAAGGAAGTCCAGTTGCCTTTTGGAAAAAAGCACCTTTGGGACCTGGATAATTCAGAATCTCCCTAGACAACTATAAGTTACCCACAGATAATATCTGTGCAGTAGTAGTTGCATACCGCTTTTCCTCTTAAAGTAAGATAATAGAAAACATTTGGGGACCTGGATCGTAAATGAATAAGATATGAAATTGCTTAAACACTAATAAATCCATGAATTCAATCTGCTTCTCTAACAGTTGTCAGCCTGCATGAGGATGTTAGAGTCTATTTGTTATTTCTGACTGCAGCTTCCTGTATTTTCCTGCTTTTCAAAGGATTCTTCTCCTGAAGCTGAAGTGGAATCCATCCCTGACTCTAGAGAAACTGTTCAACCTTCACCACCCAGTTACTCCAGTTCCCCTCCTCCTCCTGCAAGATCCCCTGGACTGCCTGTTTGGGCTGCCCGTAGACACCACCGTTCTCCTGCCAGGTCTCCGGTCACTTCCAGAACACAGAGCTCCCCCACCAGGCCCCCCAGCTCGCCTGGGCGGGCCCCAAACACCACTCGCTTGGTTCGGACTGCAGGGCCTCTTCTTATCCGAGAGCAACAGGGGGAGCCCAACACCATGGAAATCAATGCTTAAAGACAACTGGCAGAGTGTATATATGTGTCTGTGTATATAGAGACAGCTCCCCTTCTTGTGACTGTTTCCAGAGATAGCACTAAGTCAACTCTAGGCATTTTTGCACAGGCTGATGGGTTTTGCCTAGTAAACAGAAGAAATTTGGATCCTGCTTCTAGATTAAAAAGTGAACCCCAGAATGTTCCCACTGATTGCCTGGACTTGCTTTAAGTAATTACGGTAGGTTTGATGCTCCAAAGTTCTGCATGTTTCAAAGGGCACTAACTTGCTATCTGTAACATCCGCCAAGCAGAGTACAAATATTGCTTCAGCTTTTTTTATTTGCAAAAAATGGTGATGACCAACTAGTTGCCATAAAACCTGGTGGTTGCATCCAAACCTTGTGAGACTTATGAATGCATTGCTAACAGGTAGGGGAATTGAGAAACTACATAGTTGCTACTTCTAACAGTGAACAAAATATGTTTGGAGTGCAGTTTTATCTATGTTTATTCCTAGATGTTGCATTCAATCCAGTCTGAGTTATACATAGTTAAGGAGTCTCAGGATTACAACATAAATAATTTTGCTTATAAAGAACATATTTCATCAATTAGATAGTCATCCACTATAGTCAACATGATGAACATTGTCAGACATCTTAAACATTAACATTTTTTTCTTCACCTGAGCCTGTTCATAAGGCATATTAAATATTTTATAACATTATTTCTTCTTCTCCTCCTTCTCCTCCTCCTGTGTAAGAGGTTTAGCGACTTATTCATCACAAGCTTGTTTGAAGACGCTAGGTGGCACTCTTGTATAAACTGATATGGAGCACTGAGCAACAACTGTGTTCCCAAATCTTAGGCTTCTGGGACGGGTTGCTAACTCTTATGGATACATTGAAAGTGGGGCTGCTGGGCAGACCTGTGATTACGACCCAACATGTGCTCTGATGTTGCGAGATGGATTTGCAAACGTGTGAATCCTACAGTAGGAGCTTGGGTGGTGACAACAAAACCTTTGCAAAATCAAAGATCCTTCAGGCCAGCCAAAGTAGAGCAATGCCAATCTGTGATCAGCAATGTTCAGCATACTTCTCTGTGCTGTCATGCAGATTTTGACTTTATAATCAAGTTGGGCTAAACTGGATTAGAACAGATAATTTGACAACAGTAGAACATAGAGCTTTCTTTTGCTCTATGTTCTACTTGTAAGAGCTGTGGTGGTGTAATGGTTAGAATGCAGTACTGCAGGCTAATTCTTCTGACTGCCGACTGCCAGCAGTTTGGTAGTTCAATTCCCACTGGTTCAAGGTTGACCCAGCTTTCCAGCCTTCCAAGGTGGGTAAAAGAAGGACCCAGATTGTTGGGGGCAATATGCTGACTCTGTAAACTGCTTGGAGAAGGCTGAAAAGTACTGTGAAGCGGTATATAAGTCTAAGTTCTATTGCTATTGCTCCACCACAGATGGCTACAGGTAGATTATACTTAAGCTAGGCTAGTCTTCCCCAACCTAAAGCCCTCCAGAAATGTTGAATTAAATTTCAGTTCCCAGAATTACTAGTTAGCATTAGTTACATGAGACAATTAAATCTCAAATTATTTAGGAGAAAAATGCTGGATGTGATCTCTGCAGATTTTCCCCATCTGATTTAGAATGTGAAAGGAAAAGTGATTGGATTTAAAAGGTGGACGATACGCAGCACAAACCTATATAATATGTCTAAACAAAGTAGACCCTACTGATGTCATTGCATGTAAATGTATAGGCATGCACACCCACCCACCCCCCACACAAAGAGACAGAGAGAGGAATGCAGAAGGCAGCCCTGGGTGTGTTAATAGGTGCTTTTATTTAGTCCTTAAGTATGACATTTTATAATGATATTCACAAAATTTAATTTTGAATACAGGTAGTTCTTGACATACACCTGCTTTGTTTAGTGACCATCTGCCATTAAAATGGCACTGCAAAAAGTGACTTATGACTGATCCTTGCATTTACAACCACGGCAGCATCCTCCCAGTCATGTGATCAGACTTGGTGCGCTTGGCAACTGCCATGTACTTCTGACAGCTGCAGCATCCTGGGTTCATCTGAACTTCCCGGCCAGCATCCAACAAGCAAAGTCAATGGGGGAAGCCCGATTCACTTAACAATTACCTGATTCATTTAATGACTGCAGCAATTCATTTCACAACCATGGCAAAATGCTCGTAAAATCGGGCATGACTTATTTAAAAGTCACCTTCCTTCCAATTATGGTCATAAGTCAGGACTACTTGTCATTTTTCATATACCATCCCACTGGCGGTTAGAAGGCATCTGATCCAGGGATATTATTCATCCTTGGCCCAGAATAAGGTTGTTAGAGGAGAATTCTTTCGATTCAGTCCTATAAAGGGAAGTTATTTGGGACAGGTATCATTGCCCGGTTCTTCTCTCCTTTCATGTTTAGCTATGATTCCAACACTTCACTGCTCTTCGGCTCATTAGAATTTCTGCATAGAGAAAGGGCAACAATGGAATTTTAAAACCAATGAAAAGGTTGTCCTTACACAAGGAAAAAGAATATTGGTATGGGGGGTGGAGGAGGAGGAAGAGGAGGAGGAGGAAGAGGAGAAGAAAGAGAAGGAGAAGGAGGAGAATGATTTTAAAATTGATGAAAAGGCTGTCCTTGCAGAAGGGAAAAGTATATGGGTATGGCAGGAGGAGGAAGAGGAGGAAGAGGCAGAGGGGGGTATGCTATTTAATCTTTTCCTACAACACCCCCACCCCCAGCCCCTTGGCAGACTCAAGTGCTTCCTGTCCTGCGTCTGGCTTGAAGAGTGCTTCGGCAGTTCACATTAGCTCACTGCATTTCTTAATCCATGATAAATGTGGGGTAAGATGTGTTACGTGTGGTGGAAATCCCCTCAGAGCACATGAAAGGGAATTAATGAAACAGAGTCAATCCTATTAGTTCCACATTTAGAGAGGGAGAGAGATGGAGGAATGGAGAAGGGGAGGACGAGGAAGGCTTGTTGGGTTGACGGATCGGTTTGTTTGTTTGTTTGTTTACTTCTAAAACACATTCCTCTCCCACTAGACACAGCTCTTCCAGTTAAAAAAAAAACAGGCTTCAAAATGGCAAATTTACTCAGGGTAAAATGATATACAAGCAAGCATTTGAAAGAGGAGCTAAGCAGAAAAATGAGAAACCAGCATTTTTTTTAAAAAAAAGTAATGACCCAACTGCAGCACAGAAGAAAAATATTAAAATTAATAAGAGAGAAGAGTGTGTCAAAAAGTTTCTGGTGTGGGAATTCTGCAGCTAAGAAGGCCACCATTGAAAACGTCTCATTCAAGAAGCTCAACACATTTACTAAAGATTCATTTAATGGCTCTGATTTTGAGGGCTTGCAAATCACAACAATGCAGCCAAACTGATTGAGGGCAAAATTTCCGTTTTACCCACCCGCATTGTGTGGATGTAGGAGGGAATTCTTGAAGACGTCAATTTATGCCTTACACTATAAAAAGGACACAATCATCAATATTGCCAGTTTACTACTAACTTTCAGCCTGTGATCCTTGAGGGCTTCTGGATGGCCTACCAATCACGAGGCTTGGATTTTCCAAAGAGCTAAGCAAGGACTACCTGTACTGTTACCATTGGGTCTTATTCAACAAACTGTTAGGAAAGCACAGCTTAGCATAAGAAGGGCAAACAACTACATCATGCATCTCCGGATTCAGTCATGATTGGAACGATGGGCAAATGGTCAGAGAAGAAAACAAACCCTGGCAGTTAATTATAAGGAAGTATAAGGAGTCAACATCAGTACCCCTTTCATGAGCAACTGAAATTCTCCTCCTCCTCCACCGCTACAGAGTTCACTGCCACCAATGCAAGCCAGGTCAACAATGAGCTAGATGTTTATTGGAAGCTTGCTCAGACCTGGTGTTAGCCTAGAAAAGGGACATCAAAGAGATCCAAGCTGTTTTCTTTTACACTGGCTCAACTGTCAAGAAGCAACAGCGAACTAAGGGACTGCACAGAGCTTTTGATCATCCCATTAAGAAGAGGCTCAAAAACAGTTCCAGAATGCAGGCCAGCCCCTTCTTCATCCCCCTTGCTGAAGGACCCATACCACCAGTCCCTAAGCTCGGGGCTGTTTCTAATGCCCTTTCCTTTTTTCCATGAAACGTGTTGAAAAGCAACCCATCTCTCCCTCTCCCTCTCTCTCTGTCTCTCTCTGTCTCTCTCTCTCTCTCCCCCTCCCCAGATCACTTTTCCTTGAGTGGGAAAATAGCTGAAACAAAGCCGGCATGCATTGGTATTGGAAGGGGGCTTCTGAGCAGCTCCCCTTTTGTCTAAGCCCAGCTGGGAATGTGGGATAAAGAGAAGCCCCTTCTCTTACAGCCCGGGCCATTTCCATTGAACAGCACTCAAGCAGAATCCAGCTCCGATTCTTGCTTCTTTATTTCCTTCCTTCTCTCTTCTCTCCCCCCTCTTCTTCTCCATCCTCCCTGCAATCCAACAATAACGCCCCCTCCTCTCCCCCCCCCGCTTCCCCCTGCTCTTTTTTCTTTGACGTCCTCCCCTTTCATGGGGCCAACCCTACAAATGAGTTGTACTTTCTGATTTAACTAACTTGGGGAAACAACTTTGGACTCTATCTTTCTTTTCACAGGCGGGAAGCTGGCAGCCAAAGGGATGCGAGGGAGCTGGAGAAGCAGGGGACTGGGGCAGGAGGAGGTGGACGGGGGGGGGGGCTTATAGGGGAAAGGTGGTTGCTACGGGGATGATGCGCAGGCTGCCAAGGGATGGGGTAGAGCAAAGGGGACCATCAGTCTTAGAGAAAGGCCTGTCCATCAACACTGCTCACCTGCAGGGAAGAGGTAGGGGGTAGGCTGTGAGGTAGAGCGCGCTCTCTGTCTCCCTCCCTCTCTCTCTCTCTCAAATTTATTTTTTTTAAAGAACCAGCCCTGATGTGCTCCACTTCCCACTTTGTTGCTGTCAAAGCTTCCCC